GGTACAACAATTTTCGACTTAATTCTTCATTCCCTAACTCTCTCATATCACACAATTCAAGGACATCAAAGGCATTAGATGTTGAGGGGACGGAAGACTGCATCTCTCTCTCTGTTCAGCACTGTCGTTGAACCTTATCCACTATCTCTCTCATTTTTCTTCACCACTTCCCATTTAGTCGGAATTTGTATTTTAATTTCCTTGATTCTCCACTCTAGTTTGAAAGAGGAAGGGTTCAAAGTCTTTGGCTTTTGAGAGCACAAATTAGTGGTATGACTAAAAGTTTTACAAATATCACACCTTTGAGACTTCCATGGAACCTCAACTTGAATCTAATACGGATCGTCATAACCAAGATTTATTTTGAGAGATTCAGGGATCTCTTTATTTACTAGTACTTCAATACATATTCTCGCAAACATAAGTCTGTTTCTCTTGAAAGTAGGCTCATCCAAATAAAGAAGAGTTCCCGTGATGCTAGTAATGTAACCCAAACTCTCATCAGTCCAAAGCTCCAAACGAACATTATACAACTTCATCTACAACGGCACACTCAAAATTCACACTTTGTTAGTTTTAGTTCAAGTTGTCATTTTTTAACAAAAATCAATTTAGCCCTAGCGTAATAGGGGCCATCTTTCAAAATTTTGTCCAAAGCTTTTTCATTTTTTACTTTAAAAAAAGAAGAAGTTATTATCAATGGAGACAACATCCTCAAGCAAATTTTTCTAAAGTTTCTCTATTCAAATTTTCACATAATAAAAAGAGAATCTTTTATCAATGAATAAAATTTCCCCAAACATATTGTCTCCCAAAGAAAAAAATAAAATAAAAATCAATATGATGGCATCTCCTCTAGTGTCAACAGATGGTGGTGTGAGGTGGCTTGGATAGGGAGAGATTAGTTCTTATAATTGGCGGTAATATAAATCAATAGTCTTTTAATTTGTAATTGGCTTGAAAATATTAAAACTTGGGTCAATGAACCAAGTTTAGAATTGAATTTATGGCCTAAGTGTCCTACATTGTAAGGCTTATGAGTTTAGATTGTGTTCATATGATGTGTTAGATTTTACAGTCAACCAATCCGTTGGTTCAAAGCCACCAAATTACTCAAATCTACCCACCCGCCGATTTTGAGGTTGTGTAGGTTGGCCGCAAGCAATAAAGTTATCAACTCATCGAGGACAAATTTTTTCAAATTTATTTTTATGGGCCACTGAGAACAATTTAGTTGAGATTATTTTTCTTAAATAATCCAAATTAACTAGCATACGCTCTTATTGTCAAGGGAAAAAAAAATTGAATTCTAATGTACCTAATCCACAATGGGATTTTCATTAAACCGTTATAATTGTGACAATTCAACCTTTTGACCTTAAAGTGGTGAAATAAAATAAAATAAAAATTTTAAGTGGCTATATTTAATTGCCAAGATTAACTTAGTGGAATTTGTGACCTATAAGGATGTGTTTAGCGGGAAGATTTGATGATAAATTTTTTTTAAAAAAAATGAGAAAGAATGGATTTGAATTCCAAGTTATGTTTGGTTAAGTTAGAAAATAGAGAAAAAAAAGAGACTAAGTGAACTCAAGAGACAAAAAAGTGAGATTGCATTTTTCTCTCACTTTCTTTTTCCTTATATTTTCCATTATAACCAAACAAAAAGTGAGATTGTATTTTCTTTTCCTTTTTCATTTCTTGATCAAATCCTCTAACCAAATGCAGTTTAAGGGTAAAATTATTAACCTTTAGCAATGCTCTATCGGTATTTTGAGGTTGTAAAATTTAGGACTTTTGGAAGTCCATGATTTTCTTTGGTTTTTTGAGGCACAAATGGATGTATGTTTTTCGGGCTTTTAAAGGACTAGAATTTGGGCCTTTTATGAGCCAAGAAATTTGGATTTTAAGGCCCTCCCTCTTTATGACAGAATTGAGTGAGAAGATAATTAGTATCTTGAAGGATTGTTAATCCAATCACTTGTACTATGGAGATATGGTCTAAAGAGTTACAATTTTTCTTTTTTCTTTGTTTTTAAAGAGTTTTGTGTAGCAGAATTTGGACCACAAGAAACATTTGGAACTGTTAAGGCATTGTAGTGGGCTTTGGCTGGCTGCCCATATATTTAATTTAAATGGGCCCTTATGTTCTAGGTTTGGGATGGTCTAAAGAGTAATAATATTTTTTTTGTTTTTTTAAAAGAGTTTTGTGTAGCAGAATTTGGACCACAAGAAACATTTGGAACTGTTTGGGTATTGTAGTAGGCTTTGTCTGGGCTGCCCATATATTAAATTTTAATGGGCCCTTATGTTCTAGGTTTGGGAGGCCATATAGGCTGCCATTTTTTTGGAAGGCAAAAAGAATAAGGCACCGTTTGGGAAGCCAAAGCTGGGCTATTTTAGCCATGTCACGACAACAGTGACTGTTTTAGCCACATGCCGACAAAACCCTCATAATCACTTGGCTAAAACCATTGCATCGTATTTAATTTAAATGGGCCCTTATGTTCTAGGCTTGGGATGGTCTAAAGAGTAACGATTTTTTTTTTTTTAAAGAGTTTTGTGTAGCAAAATTTGGACCACAAGAAACATTTGGAACTGTTAAGGCATTGTAGTAGGCTTTGTCTGGGCTGCCCATATATTAAATTTTCATGGGCCCTTATGTTCTAGGTTTGGGAGGCCATATGGGCTGCCATTTTTTTGGAATGCAAAAAGAATAGGTCATGAAGTTTAGTTCATCTCAGGGTAGGTTTGTGGGGCTTATTATAAGTAACAAATTGATAATAAAAAACACCAGAAGTTAAAAACACTCATTTTTTAATTTTTAGATAATTATATTTTTTTTTTCTGATCATTTATGTTGTGTTTGGTTGAGAGATTTGGGGAGAGATTTAGAAAGGGAAAGGAAAAATGTGTGTGAAATTATGTGAAATATAAGTATGTTTTATTCACATTTCACCCACCTTTTCTATTTTTCTTTCCAAATCCCTCTCCAAATCCTCCAACCAAACACGCCACAAAGCTATTTTTTCTTAATAAATGACAAGTAGAAATTATACTAAACAATTTAATACGGATTCTTAAAATAAAATAAGTTATAATGGGCTCTGATAAACAAACAATAAGTTATAATAAACAACCAATATGTGTGATGTATCAATTATTATGGACTATGATATTTCTGGTCTCATGAGACAGAAATTTATGTTGCATCAAGTCATTTATTTTTTTCACTTGTTAAAACCTGCACTAGTCTTGGCTAAACGGGAAAATGAAAGGGCTTGAACCCCCACTCCACATGGAGCGCAAACCTGTTGGGATATACCTCCTTATTGGAGTGTGGGACCCAATTGGTTTATTAAAAGAGTTTCAATTTGGCTTGGTTTAGGTATAATATATTTTTATATATTATATTTGTGGAAACCCAATTCAATTTGGATACACTTAGGGTTTTGTTAAAAAGTCCAAAATTCAACAATATAAAGATATGTTGTTTAGATCTTCCGGATTAGAGGCGCAGCAGCATCAATTCTTTTTCGGTGAAAGTGTTGAGTGTATCAATCAATTTGGTTGAATTTGTTCTGTGAAACAGTGTGGCTGCCAAGTCATATGTGTTGAGATAGTGCTTGGTGCACTGTGAGTTCATTAGTGAATTTTTCGGTTGGCTACTTCGGTTTCGGCTTCATAGTTGGATGACTTGGTGAAGTTATTTTGGGTCTTCTACAACTCTAGTTCTGAAGATTTTTGTTCAACTATTTGGTGAGGTCTTTCCTCTTTATTTATTTGTGATTATTTGGAATTCACCTAAGGGTGATTTTGTGAGACTATTAGTGTCTCGTTTGTAATCGTTTGAAACTTATTTGGTTGATAGTGGAATCGGATTTCGATCCCGTGGACGTACCTCACATTGAGGGAACCACGTAAAAATTCTTGTGTTGCCTTTGATTTAATTTTTCCGCATTAGTTTTTATTCCCATTGATTGATTTACTTGTGGAGAATCACATCGATTTTCCCTAACAAAACCCTCAATTATTATGGGGATTGAAGAACATCAATTTACTTGAATTTTGCCATTTGAGGCCATTTTTAGTGGAGCAAAGATCCTTTCTTTATCTTCTCTATTTGACTCCCTCCTTATAATGATTAAGATTCATTGTAAGAAAATTTAATGGTTCAGATCATTCTAAAAAAAATTAATTTTTAATTTTTTTTAATAAAATGATCTGAGCCGTTAAGTAAAAAAGGGTCAAGTAAAGAAGGCAATTAGAGAATCCCTACTCATGAATGGGCCATTGGACTGTCCATTTTACTAGCTTAAACAACAAAAAAAGTAATACACCACAAGGGATTTTAATTTTTTAAAAAATAACAATTCAGTGAAAATTTAAAAAAATTTAAGGGCAAATTACATATACCCCTCGAGGTTTAGCAAAATTACAGATACTCTCATGAGGCTTGAGAAATTACAGATACCCCCTGAAGGTACTATTTGTATAACAAATTAGGAGGTAAATTGTTATGAAAATATAAATTTCAGGAGACAATTTGTTATGAAAAATAAACCTCAAAGGTATCTGTAATTTTCAAAACCTCAGGAGGTATCTGTAATTTAGCTAAACCTCGAGGGAGGTATATGTAATTTGTCCAAAATTTAATGATTAAAGTCATAAATTTTTTCATAAGTCTATAATTATTTTGAAAAGGTACTGTTGATTTTGTAATTTTCCCTTAATTTTAAGGCTATTTGAGGCAAATTTTGGAGAGCCATTGGGTTGCCCATTTTTGATGGCATGGAAGGCTTTTTTATTTTTGTTATTTATTTATTTATTTTTTAACAATCGGACCCCACTGGGTCCGAAGTGGAGTCTGATGCATATTCCAAATATTTATTTTAAAACTCTAAAAATATTGATTGAGGTGGGCGCGTTATCGGCCTTGGCCACCCCACTCAACCACCCATCTTACCAACTCCATCTACATGCAATCCAAACAGGGCCTTAGCTGGTAAAAACCATCAGCTGTAAACCTGAAGGATTGAGGTTCAAGAGTCAACACTCAACAGACAATAGTCCTAAGTAAATTGAGTAAATTATTTCTTTATCCTCCAAAATTTCAAAATTTCATAATTTCATACTCATCAATCATTCAATTGATCTGGGTTTTGCGTCAATCAGCAATCTTGTTGATCTCTTCTCTTTTTTACCCCCTCGCCATTTCTTATCTTTTGTTTCCTTTTTCTTGTCATCTTCTGCGCTACAGTTATATTCCTTTATTTTGGGTCTGTTCTTCCCAGTTCATGAATCTGTGACTTTTCCAAGAAAATCGACTGTCTATACGGTTTTCCTGATCTGGGTTTTGTTGAAGAGATAGGTTGCAGAAATGGGTGGTTGTTGCGGCAAGGAGAAGGTTTCAGAACCAGGCTTTAATGGTGGAAAACCCTCTACTGAATACAGCCAGCTCCATCCACAAACCTACCACCAGCCTCCGCCACAGCCGCCGCCGCAGATCCCCTCACCATTGAAGCCCACACCACCACCACCCACCAGGCATGTTCACAAATCACAGATAGATACAATACTTGATAAGCCATTTGAAGACATTAAAGCACACTACACTTTAGGAAAAGAACTGGGTAGGGGTCAATTTGGGGTAACCTATCTTTGTACTGAGAATTCAACTGGGCATAGCTATGCTTGTAAGTCAATCTTGAAGAGAAAACTTAGAACCAAGAATGACAGAGATGATGTGAAGAGAGAGGTTCAGATAATGCAGCATTTGAGTGGGCAGCCAAACATTGTGGAATTTAGGGGTGTTTATGAGGATAGGCAGTCAGTACATGTGGTGATGGAGCTCTGCGCTGGCGGCGAGCTTTTCGATAGGATTATTGCTCAGGGACAGTATTCTGAGAGAGCGGCTGCTGGGATTTGTAGGGCAATTGTGAATGTGGTTCACGTTTGCCATTTTATGGGGGTGATGCATAGGGATCTCAAACCAGAGAACTTCTTGTTGTCAAGCAAGGATGAGGGAGCTATGTTGAAGGCTACTGATTTCGGGCTGTCAGTGTTCATCGAAGAGGGTAAATTTCTTGTTTTTCTTTTGTGTGTGTTGTAATTGTATGAATTTCAGTTTGAGAATTTTCAAGTTTAATGTGTTTATTTTCCAGCTATTAGAATAGTATCAACTGGATAATTCAAGAGACATTTGAATGGTTTGGTTAGTATTTGCAATGTGCATCTTGCATAAGCATACACTATTGAGAACCCTCAATTATACAAATTTTAAAGTTTTTCTGATGCATAATAACATGGAATTTGGTGTCTAACACTGAAATATAATACCACTCAATAATAGCATGCGCACTTAGCTAGGGTTGCTAATGATCTGAGATGCTCATGAACTGCTTGTGTTCAGCTTGTTGACAAGCACGTTTTGTTCATTCATTATGTAAATTATCTGGGCTTGAGATTTACTTTTGAGCTCATTTATTGTCTTTGGGGTTTGCTTATTTAGGCCTCGTTTGGCAAGTGGTGATTTTAGTCAAAAAGTCATTAAAAAAATCAAAAAACCAACAACTTATATCAAAAAGTCAAATATTCTCTTTTCTCTCTACTTTTTGCACATCTTTTCGTAAAAAATCAAAAAGTCATCCCAAACATACTATTTTTTTTACATCATATTTTAGCCAAAAAGCCAAAAAATTACTAAAAAAGCCTATTCCCAAACGAGGCCTTAGTCTCTCTTTGGCTTTTTACGAAGAGATATACAGAAAAATAGAGAAGTGATGTGACAATTTGTAGCAAACTATTAATAAATGAGTTAAGCTTGAACATAACACAGCTTAGTTTGTCATGTTCGTGGACCTAAAATATAAAAAACACAATACATAGAGCATTAGGTTGAATCGTATTAGATCTATGCATCAATTTTTTTCTTATTTTGATGTTTTGCCCGTCTTTCGTTATATGAGCTTTTCCTGATATGGTAAGTTTGAACACACACAAATTTATGAATTCTGTTTTTAGAGCTGTAAGCCTGTCTTAAAAAATGGTTGTAACTAAGGCAACCAGCAAAGCTCTGCATTGTGCTTTTCTTGATTAATATGAACTGGACTTTAATCGGAGCACCCGACCATCTTTGCCATTTGGTTGGTATATTGTGAAGCTAAGGTTTACAACATGACCATATGAATAACCTTTTCAACTTTCTTCCTTTCAAATCCAAAGTTCTCCCTTGCAATGGCACTTGGAAGCATTCCATCAAATTGTTCGTTCCCATGGAGAATGACTTTTTAATTTATTTCACAGAGAAATCCGGCCTTCTTTTTCATGTGTGCCTTCTTTTTCATGTGTACCTTTGTTGTTTAAAGCAGTGAGGAGCACTCAGTTTCTTTACTTACTATGAACTTCTAATGAGGATTTGTATATAAGGACATGTCATATATGTACAGTGCCTACTGGCTTCCACTGGTTGTCATTTTCATTTTGTGATATCCTTTTGTCCACTTAACTTTGAGTAATACTGCTTTCTCTAGCATGTAGTCATGTGCAATATCTATATGAAAATTAATGATCATTGGCATTTTTTTTTTTAAAACTAATGTCAGGAAAGGTGTACAAAGACATAGTGGGTAGTGCTTACTATGTCGCTCCTGAAGTCTTGCGGCGTAGTTATGGAAAGGAAATAGATGTTTGGAGTGCAGGAGTTATTTTGTATATTCTACTCAGTGGTGTACCCCCATTTTGGGCTGGTAAAGACGACAATGCTATTATCATGTATTTTCTTGTTATTGGCAATTTTTTATTTTTTATTCTCTTTTTATGACTTGGGATAAAATATGGACTAAGATACTTATTTCACTGGATTTGTGTTGCAGAAACTGAGAAGGGTATATTTGATGCCATTCTGCAAGGAGAACTTGACTTTGTAAGCCCACCTTGGCCATCTATATCAAACAGTGCCAAAGACCTTGTGCGGAAGATGCTGACACAGGACCCCAGAAAGAGGATTACTGCTGCAAAAGTTCTTGGTATGGTACTCCTTAATATGATATATAGATATATATATATATTTTTTCCTGCACGGCTTAAGGCTCTAGAATTAAATTAGAGGTCCAAGTTCAACTCTTACTCTGGGCTAGCCCTAAGCTGTAAACAAGCCAAGTCGAGCAATAGATTGTTCAAGCTTGGTTTGAAAACATAACAAGCTTCAAAACATCTTTGGCTTAGGTGGTTAAATAAATAAATAAATAAAAAAGAAAGAAGTTTTGTTAATGTCTTGGTATTTTGTATTGGAAGCAACAATTCTATATTTTTATTTCTCAAAATAGTTTGTGTCTTAGTATTTTGACTGTCATCTGCTTCTTATTAAAAAAAAAAAAAAATGCTCAATAAGTACACATTAATGTGTGTTCGGAAGGAAAAAAATTGGGTACACACCTAACTTTTAGCATAATGCAAAAAGTGGTCGCCCCGTGTCCTTGATAATGTATTTTTGGTAAGTTTGACAATGTATTTCGTGCTGATGAAATGATTCAACAGAGGGAGAGCTAAGTGCCAATTGGTTGAGTATTTCATCACATGGCTCATATTGCTTTTGAATTCGACAACTCACCAAATTCTGAAATTTGAAATCTTGGAGAGCTTATGATGAAAAAATGCAGTATTATAGTATTCTTGTAATATCAGTTGGATATCAACCATGAATAAATTAATTGACATAGCTTCACTTGTTCATGGGTTGGTTTCCAATACTAAGTTCATAGGTTGGTTTCCAATACTAAGTTTGCTATAAATGTTCTAAATGTTTGCGTATGACTAACATTTAATGTATACTTCATTGTTGTTGATTAAGTGCACCCATGGATTCGGGAAGATGGAGATGCATCTGACAAGCCAATAGACAGTGCGGTGCTCTCTAGAATGAAGCAATTCAGGGCAATGAATAAGATGAAACAACTTGCGTTGAAGGTTCGCAGTTATATTTTCTGCTCATTCTAAAATAAGTAAATGTAAAACGGCAGGTTTGGAAAATTGTGATATGAAGCCCTTGGTACCAGGAAACTCCTACTCGGATGACGCTTTTCTTACTCAGAAACGCAATTTTGCACTCTTAATTAAGAAACCTGTTAGAAACTCGCTTCTAATTGAGATAAAACCTCTCAAATATACAAATCTAAGGCTGTGTTTGGTTGGGAGATTTGGGGAGAGATTTAGAAAGGGAAAGGAAAAATGTGTGTGAAACTAGGTGAAATGTAAGTATATTTTATTCACATTTCACCTAACTTTTCCTTTGTCGTTTCCAAATCCCTCCTCAAATCCTCCAACCAAACACAGCGTAAAAGTAGCCAAAAAAAAGCGACTTGAACTTATTTATTTATATATATTTATTTGGAGAGATTACACTGACCTCCCATGAGGTTTAGAAAACATGCATCAAGCCCCACAATTTTTGGCATTATTACATTGGTTTCTCCTAAGTTTTAATTCACATAATACTTTGCCCCTTTTTCTTCATCAACAATTCATTAGTCCTATGGATGGAAAAATGATTTTATTATTTGCTTGTAAATTAAAATGTATATTTTTCTATATTTATCCTCGTATTTTCATACCATTTATATTAGTTCTAGATGCTTTAGTCTTGCTAAAAGGAAGGTCGGTGTAATTATGCCAAAATTGTGGGGCATGTTGCATTTTCTCTAAAGCTATAGGGAGGTCCCCTATTTATTTGCATTCAACAAAAACAATTTGTAATTGACACTAATCTCAAATAATAATTCATATTTTAACACATATATGATATATTACAACTAAATAAAAACAAATAATTGTTAGAATATATTTAATATTTAAAGTATATACACGCTCTTAGATGCTTCCAATCTTAGAAACTTGAATATGCCCTCACTCCCTTGCCCCACTCCTGCTCTTGGCCCCATTTCGTGCAACTAATTAAGATGAAGCCCCTTTGAAAGCTTAGATTACACATTGTGTAGTTTATAGAAGTCGCCCCTCTCTATCGATCCAACAAAATTACTAAGAATTTTTTTTTAAAATTATTTTAAATTGCATGAAGAAGGTTTTATATTCAATGTTTTGGGTCTTGGTGGCTTTTAAAAATACTTCTAGGTCATTGCGGAAAATCTATCTGAAGAAGACATCAAAGGTCTTAAAGCAATGTTCACAAACATGGACACAGACAAGAGTGGCACTATCACCTATGAGGAATTAAAGACAGGATTGGCCCGGCTTGGGTCAAAGTTGTCTGAGGTTGAAGTAAAGCAACTCATGGAAGCTGTAAGTTTTAAATCTACAAGAATTAGACTTATTTGCATCTTGAATATTTTCGTAAATATAACTATATATATTGTCCTGCACTGCAGGCTGATGTGGATGGAAACGGAACAATTGACTACATCGAATTTATCACTGCAACAATGCATAGACACAAATTAGAAAGAGATGAGCATCTATTTAAGGCATTTCAGTATTTTGACAAGGATAACAGCGGGTGAGTCCATAAATTTTCCATGTTGATAATAATAGTAATATATTGTCTCTGCATTTCGGAGATGTAATCGTATTGCCTGCTCTCTATATAGTTGTTAACTCATGAATTCTATGAGAAGAATTGTTGGTTTGATCACGAAATGTCATGACAGCTTTATTACAAGAGATGAATTGGAAAGTGCTATGAAGGAGTATGGAATGGGCGATGATGACACCATAAGGGAAATAATATCAGAGGTTGATACGGACAATGTAAGTTGTTTCGAGCCTAGACATTTCAAACCCTCTTGCAGGATCATATGTTTTTATTGATTCCGTGCTGATTCTTTCGAACTTCGTAGGATGGTAGAATCAACTACGAAGAATTTTGCACAATGATGAGAAGCGAAACTCAACAAGGCAACACGCTCTTTTAGTTTCATCAATGATCTTCTCAAACTATTAAAGAGTTGTCAGGTTAAAAAATGTTTAACCACGAGTCATATCTTGACTTCTTCTGAACCTAGGCAGCGGGCATAGGAGACGCTTTTTGGTTTTGATTGCCTGGGGTTGAAGTGCAGTATTGTGCATATCTAGCTTCTTTATTGACTCTCTTTTTTCAATGTTTTTTTGTGTTTTGTGTTTTGTTTTTGTTTTTTTGGTTTGTGTGTCCGGTTTCAATCTCGACCTGTTTGTGGATCTTTTTATGACGGATATGAATGGTCATGCTGTGAGAAAAATAAGTTGAGTTTTGATGTTGATGTATTTTGATGAGTAGTCTTATGGACATGAAAGTAGGACTTGGTAAGAATGTGAACAGTCAAAATCATGTTCTGATTTCTGCCAAGTGAATGTAGATCTTTGTGTTTGAATTTGAAAAAGAGGTATTATTGAGTGTAGAGAAGGGAGTGAAGGAAGACAGGCTTATTAGTTGTTTGGATTCAGATTGAGGTGGGACTTATACCTTGATTGTTTTGGTTTTCAAAAACTAATTTTTCACTTCTTATTTTTTGAGTTTTGTTATCTTTAATAAATCATATATACATACATTAATCTTTAAAAAAAAAAAAAAAATTGACTTAATCTGAATGCACCCAAAAACTAAAAAGAAAAATTGGGGATTTTTTTTAAGGTCCATGATATTAAGAATTTATAGTATAAAGGACACTCAATATTTTCATAATGTCTAAGGTCCCTCAACATCAATCCAGAGAAAATTTGATCCAGAGAAAATTCGGTCCAGAGAATTTCTCTGGACTTTCTAGGGAAATTCTCTCCAGACATCCAGAGAAATTCTCTTTATCCAGAGAAAATTTAGATAGTCCAGAGAAATTTAGATATCCAGAGAAAATTCAGATAGTTCAGAGAAAATTCACACAATCCAGGAAACTCTGCGTCATCGTGCATTTTATATGTTCTCTTACAAATATCTTTTCATGAAGGGTTGCTATGAAAATTCTGTTTGCTAATCCTAGTGCTCTTTATAGATCAAGTCCAACAAGATGAGGTGGTTGACAGTAAGATCTTGCCATACCTTATCATAGACAAGAAAGAGAAGAAGTCATTCCCTAGACTTCCAGAGAAAATTCAATTTCAAAGAGAAAATTAGTCCAGAGAAATTCTGTGGACTTTCCAATTTCTCTAACATTCTCTAGAATTCCCATTGTAAATTTCTCTGGCCTTCCATTCTCTCCAGAGAAATTTCCCTTCTCTCCAGAGAAATTGTAATGCGCTTCATCTTGTTTGAATATGCTATATTGTTGATATTGATTCAGAATTTCTACAATTGTTTGGGAAATTCCTATCATTTTCTTTGAATGAATTCAATAAATTTTTGTTGTACTTATCTACAAATTTTCCAGGGTATATCTATCCTTACCTAATTCTAATGGAGAGTGGGAAATATACGGAAGGCTAGAGAAAAAAATTTCTCTGCAGAGAAGGGAAGACCAGAGAAATTTGCAATGGAAAGTCTAGGGAAGGTCAGAGAAATTTAAAAATTTCTCTGAAAAGTCCTTGCACCAATTTTCTTTGTGAAGTTGAATTTAGCAAAATCAACAATTATTACCAGCTCTACAACCTGAATTCTGTAGAATCAAATATCAATTATTAAATATAAGTAGTCTCGATAAGAAGAGTGAGAGAAACTTACTAGTTATGAGATCAAAAAAAGAGGTTCTCCCAAATCCAAACCAAGTTGGAGGAGATTTCTATTTGCTTGTTTCAGGCCTGACAAAATGTTCCATTCCGTACATGAGTTTGTCATTGACAATGGATAAATTCTGAAATTCTACTGAAATGATAACAGTAAATCATTTTTTTACAAGAAATCAGTTGACTCATATATATGCACATTATCACAATTCACAAACACAATAAAAAGAGTGGGATTCTACTGGAGAGAAGGGTACACATCATCAATTTCCTTCTTCCCAAAGTCCGACCCCTCTCTCTCTCTCTCTATATATATATATATTTTATACAATCAAAAATATTTGCCATATTTATGATTTTAACTTTCGAAGCACTCAACAAAACTTTCAACTCCCAATCGTCGAGCTCCCAACACAACCTCTACGATGTAGCGTCGATTGGATTGCTCTGAAAAGTTGTCAAGATGTTCCGATTCACCTCTTCGGAAGAAGCAATGATAGATGAGATAGGACGACTGGCTCTGTGAGTGGCTGAGCTGACTTGATGTTCTGCCGGAAATACCGACGGGACGCCGCAAAGATCGTCGTTCACGATGGTGATTCCAACTACCTTCCCTGCTACTCTCATGGCTCCACCCCCTTTCCATGGTTGCGATTGATCGAAACCTAGAACAAAAAAATATATGTAACGATTTTATAATATTTCATAGAGTTAAATTTCTCTGTGATATATGAATGTGGGAGTTGAAGGACCTTAGACATTATAAAATAATATTGTGGATCTCTTCTATTACTAAAAATGGGAGAGGGGGGGATTTTTTTTTAAGGTCCCTGGTATTAAGAGTTTTTAGCATAAAGGACATCAAATATTTTCATAATGTCTAAGGTCCTTCACACATTGATCCAGAGAAATTTCAATCTCCAGAGAAATTCTCTCCAAATTTCTCTGGACTTAAATTTCTCTGGACTTCTCTTCAAATTTCTCTGGACTTCCCATTGTCCAGAGAAATTCTCTCCAAATTTTTCTGGACTTCTTTCCAAATTTCTCTGGACTTCTTTTCAAATTTATCTGGACTTCCCACTGTCCAGAGAAATTCTCGCCAAATTTCTCTGGATTTCCCACTCTAATTTCTTTGGACAAAGTAAGTTCAAGTCTCATCTTAGCCTAAACTCTCTCTCACTCTCTAATATTTTTTCTTTGGATATATGGTTGCAGAAGAAGCTTCTGATTCTCCAAATTTCTCATAGCCATTATTGGTCATTCAAAATCAAAGAATTTCTCTAGTTACCTACCAGGAAATATTTCTTGGTTATCTAAACTTCTTTATTATTGGTCATTCAAAATCAAACAAAACCAGAGAAATTTGGACTACCAAGAAACAAAAAAACAATCATAATTTTCTCTGTGTTTTGAACAAACTAGAAAAAATTGTAATTGTTTTTCTCTATGATTATTTTCTAAGAAACATTTTATCAAACAAGTTAGCTTCAAAGCCCATAGCTATATGTTTTACAGTTCTAAAAAGAGTTTTGTCAAACCAAATCTCACAGTTATGTGTTTTGGAGTTCTAAGAAGCATTTTGTCAAACAGTTTAACTTCATACTATATACATGGATGTTTATATGTGTATGAGTTGTGAGAGAGAGAGAGAGATCTCCTCTTGACCAGTCAAGAAGAGGAGGATATCACGCTCAGGTTCTGTCAAGTGGATCTCTATAACAGTGATTAGAGATATATCTAGGTAGTCACTTTCTGGCTATTTGGTGTAGAGTATCTCCATCGGATAAGTTCTTCCAAGAATTGTAAAGATATTGCAGTTAAAGGAATAACTTGAAAATTTCTCTGCATCTAATGTGACAGATGTGACAATCAATCGAAGGTCAAGTCTCCTATTTACAAGCTGCTTCAACAATCCAAAAAGGACATCAATGTGGATTGTCCTCTCATGAGCTTCATCAAGCATTATAACTGAATACTGAGATAAATTCTCATCATTCAAAATCTCTCTCAGAAGTATACCATCTGTCATATACTTGATTACTGTATTCGGTCCGGTCCAGTACAAATGACGACGATGAACTCCGATGATGGAGGTAGAGTTCGTCGGAGAGAGAAGAGCAAAGAGAAAAGAAGAGAGGGAGAGGCAGTTTGATTTAAAGGAATCAAATTTCTCTGTGATATATGAATGTAGGAGTTGAAGGACCTTAGACATTATAAAATAATATTGTGGATCTCTTTCATTATTAAAAATATGAGAGGGACCTTAGACTAATTTTTTCTAAAATTAACTAGTATTATTATTAATTAAATATTCTTAATCAATTGAATACAAAAATATTAATCATACAGTTTGGCATTTTTTTTTTTGGGTCTGAAATAACTTACAAAATAGTAATTATTACTATAGGTCTCTATCTACTAAAATTAGGCATATGAAAATCAATGGTGATACATCCTCTAAAAATAGAGCTCTAAACAGAGTTCTATACACTTGGCAAAAAAAAAAAAAAATACAACACAAATATCACATCGTTGTAGGGCCTACACAGTTAAAGCTCCTTTAAAACTCTACTATTAGAGTTCCCAAATGTTATTGTATGAAAATATTGTGTTTAATGATTTTTTATGATATAAAAAAGAAACATCTATGAAAGGATTGATATCAAAATCTCATGGTATGTCTTTCTTAATAAATATAACCAAGTAACTTGTAAAACAATATCTTTCATTCTATTACGTAGTTTAATTTTGACAAATTTTATAATTGAAAATATATGTTCTTGTACATAGTTGAAACATGCAAATGAACACAACACGAATCAATCTAAAAATAAGATGATGATTCATTTTAATAAGTAGCTTCAAATTTCATGAATTTAATTTTAAGAATGTCAGATCAAACACTGACAATATTCTCATTTTCAAAGAATGAACAAATAAGAATAAATCAAAACAAGAAGCATAAGTAAATTAAAGTGTGATTTATAGAAAAAAAAAAAAAAAACATAAATGATACAAGGATATAAATAAGAATAGTAACAAATAAGAATAAATACAAGAATAGATAAAACTTTGAGCAACATACAAACATAATAGATCAATATTTTATATAACTATTAACTCTAAAATTATTTTTAAAATTTGGTTATATAATTAATTGGATTAATTACAATAAGACCCTATCAACTTGTGAAAGGTAAAATTATCTCTACAGGGAAAGCGAGATGATGTGCCCAATCCTTTGCACCATGCAAAGAGAAACCATCACTCTCGACCAAGGTTGGTCGGGAGGACCCTTTGATGATCAAGTTAACACAATAATCGACCATAGTGTATAGTATAAAAAGAAAATATTTCTAGCATAGGATTTAATTGAGTTTAGTTGGGTTAGATAGGATCTCCTTACTTATCCCTTATGTTTTGTTTCCTTATCCTTATATAGCTATTCTGGCTCAAACCTCATTC